GGCGCTCTCGGAGTAGCGCCGCGAGGGCGCCGCCCAGGGACGCACGCGCGGGACCCGCCGCATGGGATGGTGTGGTAATGCAACCCTTGGGGGTGCGTGTGTGTGTGTGTGTGTGATTGGCGGGTACTATGATCTTCGGAATTGTTTTTTTTCTTCTTTGAAGGAGGAAAATAGAAAGCAGGGGGAAGGAAGAAGGGAAATCTAAAAACAAATCATTTGTTCGTTCGAGCGTTCTCCTCTTCCCGGGGTTGTCCATCCACCCCCCATTTTGAACACCGCACATTCAATGGGGGAGGAAGCACAAGCCGTCCAATCTCATTCATTTTGTTGAGATTCTACTGTTTGTATGCATGGATGGCAGCTTTTTTTTTTTCTACCACATCATTCAATATCAAGCGCCCGATGGAGAATCGGAAATTGCCGATCATCCGTCAAGGGCTGGCCTTTTTGGTATGTATACAAAGGCCCATGGCTGTCCCGAGAGGCCCAGGAGTTTCGCTCGCCGTCAAACTTACATCGATCCGGCATCAGCAAGAGGTTGTATAAAAACGGATTCCGCGGCCCCCGCGCGGCGGGCGGGATATACGGAAAAGTCGCCTTCCCCTCCATCACAGGCAACATCGCGTGGAGGGTGAAATTATGCAGAAATAGGACACCCCCCGGGCGAAGGGCGGGAAGTTGAATCACCGGCAGCCCTTGCAGCTCCGGCGTCTGGCGGGGGAGAAATCCCATGTCGAAAATCTTCGAGAAGACGCGAAAATGCTCGAGGTCGACCCCGCCCGCACTTGACGAGAGCAAAACCCGATGCGAGCCCGGCATCACCGCCATCCTCGGCGCCTCCGCGTGCGTGGCGCCGTCCAAATCCTCCAGCCCAATCATCGCGGAGAGCGCGTAGGGGTTCTGAAAAGGGCTATTCAACCCGGCGAAGGTAAAAGGGGTGGGGTTGATGAAGGGCTGGGCCTCGTAGACGCCATCGGAGTAGAGGCGAATCACCACCTCGCCGCTCAGCGCGGCGGCGGCCTCGCCGAGGAGATCCCCCGCCCGCTTTTCGCCCTCGTTGGGCTCCAAAAGACCGCGCAGGGCGGGGGAGCCCTCCCAGAGAAAGCACCAGTACTTCGAGGTGTTGAAGACGGTGTCGAGGGCCTCGTCGATAGGCTTGACCGCCCGCCCGCGAAGGGCCTGCAAACCCGCCTTTACGGAGTGGTAATTTAAACGACAAATGCGGCGAAACGCCCGATCAACCCGTTGTTGGGCGCGATTTTTGTCCTTCCTCACTTCGGAAGTCCCTTCCCGAGGTGCCTTTGGATTCATCTCGGTTTCTGATTGTGTTGGAATACCCGATTGGGGCTCCAAAGGGTGTATGCGAGGCTGCATTTTGTGATCTAATTTGACCTTCATGTTGTTTTGGGGGTCGACGGCGGGAAAAGGGTTCATGCCGCGCTTGATGACCGCGCCCCGAACGGCCATGGAGAGCTCGTGGGTTGTCTTCTCGCTGAAAAAGGATTCCGCGAGGATGAAGCCGTGCTGTCTATACACCTTAATTGCCGCGGAGGTTAAAAGTTCGCGTCCATTTTTGACACAAAAGTAAGGCATGATGTGGATCCCTTGATCATTCTAAAAAAAAAACGGAATAGTAAAAATAATCTGGATAGCAGAATCAAATTTCCAGGAAGCTATCAAGATAAGAGAGGGAAAGTACAATATACATACAACAACGGAAGACAGAATGGGGATAATTGACAGCATTTATGTTACATTTTACCCTAATGCACCTCTTCTCTTCTGAGGAAAGAAACGGGATAAATTTTTCATTTCCTTATTCACTAAGTTGCACTGCGTGAAAATAACGTGACAATTCTCAATTTTTTTTCTACATATGTACATATCAAATTACTAACTTATATTTGATTAGAAAAGGAGTTTGAGTGAAATAGGCAAATCTGAAATAATAAAAAACTAATATCAGCTAAACTATATTTTATTGTGTAATCTAGATGCATTTTTTTTTGAAATTTCTACACAACGACAACAATACAATCCGCTTGAAAAGCTATGCAGGAATTTTTTTTTCAAGACATAAGAAAATTCAAGAATAGCAACAAGATGATAACAAATCCAACGAAAAGGAAAACGTATACGAGAAAATAGAAAGTTCGCGCAAAATGAGACCGTAAGACAGCAACAGAAACACTATCAAAAAGTATGAACTTGTGCAGTTCGTCTTCCTTTTTCTTTCCTTCTCAGAAAAGACTACACTCTATCAGAGTGAAGAAAAAGGAAAGTGGCTCCTACAGTTGTATTATTTACAATGTTTTACTCGCATCACCAGACATGAATATTACCTTTCTAATTAAATATGCACAAATCTATATATAATATATAGATATATATAGATATATATACCTTTTGATTCATTCCCATTTTCACATCATTTCTTTATTCGAATTAACAACTAAATATCTTCCTGACGCTGGGTTTGAAGGATATTTTGGTAGTATTTATATTTACTACTCGTACTATCACGTTTTAACACGTCGATCACCGGCCCCATACACATTTCAAAATGACGACGATTCAATTTTGCGGTGGTGACATGGGTTACGGCAACTACATCGGCAACATTGCGATGGTTATTCAAGAATTCTAGCTCCCCGATGTGATCCCCTTTGGTGAATTCACAAACCTTCGTTTTGTTATTCTGCTCATCCCGCCCAATCACCTCTACGATGCCATCAATGATGATATGAAGCCATTCGCCCATTTCGCCGTGAGTGATGATGTAATCCCCGGGGTTGAATTCGTTGCTACTGAGGGCATCTGCCACCTGCATCCGCTCGTAGTGGTCGAGGCTTTCCAGAAACGGAATATTCGCAATCATGGCGACGTAGAGCTCCCGTCGACGAATACTGGAGCCCATGACCATGTTTCGATACGTCTCCCTATCAAGCACCCACGCTACTAAATTACTCGTGCAAACTTTTACTGTAGCAACGGCTGGGGTATCATAAAGAAGTTCGAGTTCCCCAACCGCGGTGCCCTCTTTTTTGAGAAAAACCTTCTGGCCTTCTTTAATGATATCCGCCTGCCCTGATTGAATGACGTAGAGCTTATCGCAGTTTTTCTGCCCGAACTGCATAATACACTCATCGCGCTTGAACTCCATCGGGTACATCGCCCCCGCGACCGAGCGAATATCCTTAGTGCTGAGAAAGCTGAACAGCACGTTGTGCGCGAGGAGATCGCAAATCAGCCTTGTCTCCTCATCCGACTTCTCATGAACCGGGGGGCGGTAGTGCTTTGCCTTTTCCGGGTCGATCCCCTCGACGCGGACGGTCTGCCGGCGTCGTCGGCCCGCCCCGAGCGCGGTGAGGTCCGCGGGGGCGGCCTGCGGGACCCAGGTCGGCCCCTCCCCAAACCCCACCTCGGCGCCCTCGTCGTGGTGGGTGGTGTGGGAGAACCAGAGCGCCTTGGTGTTGCCGTCACACTGCGCCTTGATGCGCTGTCGCAGGTCGAAGTCCACCTGCGTGTTGGCGAGCTCGATGCGGGAGAGGTTGGGGTTGGCCTGTGCCAGCCCCAGCAGCCGCCGCCCTGCGTAGTTCCCGATCGGGTTTCGGCTCAGGTCCAGCGAGGTCAGGGTGGGGTGGGTGCCGCAGAGCGCCACCACCGCGTCCATCGTGGCGTTGCCTTTGACACTGCCCTGGTTGAGGTCGGTGTTGTAGAGCTTCTGGTCGGAGAGGTTGAGAAAGCGGATCTTCGGCAGGGCCTTGACCACCTCCAGCAACGCAAGAATCCCGCGGTTGCCCAGGTAGTTGTTGCCGACATCGATCTCCTCAATCTCGCTGAAGGAGTCGTGGGCGAGGAGGAATTTGACCAGATCAGGGTTGGGGAGCTTCACACCGTGCCGCTTGCACGCCTCGAGGTAGACTTGGCATGGAGAATCGTCCATCGCCGCGTCGTTTTAAGTATGTATAAATGTTGTTTTGGGTGTTTGGGTGCTCAACCTAGATGATATACGTATCTAGCTATTAAACTTTATAAAAATACTAAAGTATGAGTAAATGGTTAGTTTTTTCAACACTAACATGTCCAAAATAGTTGAAATAAGGGAAAAAAATCACTATTCCAAGAGAAAGGACAAAATCCCACGTGTATACGCATGACGTCGGGTCGTACCTCCTCTTCCATTCTTTGTTACTCTGTTCAATATGTTTAGTAATGAAATAATTTTTTATTATACACTAGAGACCCGTTGGCCTTCCGTTTGAACCATTTTCCTTGAAAATCACCCAATTCGTAGCCTTGGTCAGGCTTTCCAAAAAGCTTATCCATATTCTGCTTATCAAATATAAGAGATACGTTGTATGTCTTCTTCACCGATTTGTTGGTCACCTTAGAATTTGGCGCATCCTTGTGCTTCTCACTCGTGGAGTAGAAAGCGATGTTGTCGTGAGTTAACAAAAAGAGAAGATCCTTTTCCGCGATAGGGATATCCATCGCGTTCCGTAGTTCTGCCAGCGTAGTGAATACGTTCGGTTTAGCCTCGTGCTTGTGATTCCACAAAAGACGTTGCAGGGAGCGTCTCCAGTACGACAACAACAGGGATTCCCCATGAGGGGAAAAGGGTCTGCTGATGCATCCTCCATCGTCTTTCAACCCCCCACACCACTTCTCGCAGCCGCACTGCTGCCCTCGTTCCTTCATTAAACTAAAGGCAATGTCCAGCATAAAACTACCAAGTCGCATTCGTTGAAACATCGGCAAGGTAACAATACAGGAGAGCGTGTGGTGAGGTTTGTGCTTTAGACGGCTAAAATAGCCAACTAAGACATGCCCCGACCACTTCGCCTTATCATAGCTTGCGGCACTTCGTTTAAAGTGCGCTTCATTCTCGAAATAGCCACCTGATACATAAGGCAGAGCTGTGCGTGGGAGCGTGATGATGAAGAATTCATAGATATCAACATCATTGCGGAGTAATTTACTCTCAATAAAGCAGTTCCCTAGCAAGGAGATGCACCGTGCGTACTGTATATGCTGTGCACCGTCAACATACCACACTCGCCTTCCACTAGTTGAATCGTGATAGATTAGCGTTCCTGGTGGATCATAGAATTCACAGTAGCCCTCTAGATGTATTGCCAAGTGCTTCTGGGAGAAGAAAGGGCTCAAACACCGATGACAGATGTTGACGGAGTAGCAGAGCCCGTTTTCAGGAAGCGCCAAGTATAGGAGAGAATGGAAAGGGCTTGAAAACCATGGTGAAAACGTGTAGCATAGGTACATCGCCTCACAAGGAGCTGTGTTTTGCTCAACCAAAGATAACCATTCATTCGGAATGTTCTCCAGTATCTTCTCATCTTCAATAGGGTGAAGAAATACATCATCGTACCAACCATCAAAGCGGTAAAAGTAACCCTCTGAGGAGACAATGGCCTGTGAGCTAACGTGAAGGCGGCTAAAATGTCTGTCGTCCCTTGCATTATATGAGTTTGTTGGGTTCCCCAACCGACTTTTTTTCTTCACAGCACCGTGTGTGGCATCTGAGAGTTCGAGGTGTGTCGTTCGGAAGTAATATAATATACGCGACAGGTTATCTAGATGGGGCCGCTGTGCAATAATGAATCCAATAGCCTTGGACAGAGAGTTGCCCCCAGAGCCGTATATGGTAGAGTAGTGTGAGTTATCTAAGCAGCATAGCTGACCAATTTGCATTGAAGCCTTTTATTGCAATTTCCATGCAAAATATGGCTGGACCTAGTAGTATGCAAACAGCGCCGTAATTCTGGAAACCACACAGCAGGGTGCTGAAAAAGAAAAAAACTGGAAAAAGACGTTATCGTAAGAGGCTTATGCTAGACAAGCACTGTACTATATAATTGGTAAGGTCGCAACAAATACTTACCTTATTTGCCCAGCATGCGTTTTGAGAAAAATAAATAAGCATATATATGTTTATCGCTATCACTAATAAACCCACGAAAAGCATGCATAGCTATCCAAAAAAAAAAAAAGTCTTTGCTATTATACACTCCTTGAGCAGCCTTCTTTGCCCGTTTTAACGTAGAATGAGACTCCCAATACCTCCTTTATGACAGAAGAAACTTTTATAGACTTCGATTTCTTCCAAAAAAATTATTTAAACAGTAAAGGAGAGCCAAATGCTCAAGAAACCAAGCAAGTTTCTGTGTTGTAGCTTTTACAATTATAGGTACAGGGATGATAGACATTAGCGAGCATCCATGGTACACAGGGCAGAAATTGTATATTGCCATATGGTTTGTTGAATTTGACACCAGTAATAGGCCCGGAATTTGTCCAGGCACCGAGGGACTCTATTTTAAGGTCCTCTTTTACATATCCTTCCTTTTTCCACAAAGACGCAACATTATACACCTATTGTAGGATGTCATCGTGTGATCTTGCAGGTCCACTGTATTGTCATTGCAGCCACGCTTGAGAAGCCCAAAGGCGACCTCGGAGTCTTTTGTTGAGAAATAGCCCTCTGCACAATACTCGAAGAAGTGATACCGCCCAAAGCAGGCATAGCGACGGTGCGCACAGTCTTCTTTCCCAATGTCCCCAAGCTTCACTGCTGAATTTCCCGCGCCGTCGTGATGAGTAGAATGGCTACTAGACGTGGGGGGTTGAACTTGCGCCGTGCCGAAAGACATGTTTATCGGCGAAGGCGGCTGCTTTTCATCGTCTTCCAGAACATCCCGTTCCGTTCGGATTGATTTATCCACATACTCGATCAAATCGAAGTCACTGCTGGCACCAACGTGGGCTTTACCGGTCCATACTATTGACTCCCTACGCACTGAGTCATTTTGTAGCTCATTGGGGCTACTAACGATTTCGAGCATCTCACCGCCGTTGTTGTTAGGGTCGGACGCAATATCCGGTGTTGTGCGTTCGGAAGACACCTGGGGGTTATTTTCCTTCCACGAAAACCAGTTCCGCAGGCTTTGACAGATAACTGAAGCACGCCCCAGAACCTGGGCCGCCATCCTCCACGTGAGCTCGCTTCCACAGGCCAGCCGTGGGACGATATCGGAGCGGTAGACTATGTTGTGGAAGTAGCGCGTCCAACCATTTCGCTCTACTCGTTGGGCGAGTTGGTAGTTGCCAATTAAAGGGGCCCCAATGGTGACGCATAAAATCTGCGGTGATTTCCCCATTTCCAGAAATTGATCAAGCAGCTGGAGGGTGAGAAGCTGCGCGACAGCCCCACCCAGGGAGTGCCCGGTAAGTACCAGTCGATAGCCACTCTGGAGATCCCTCGCGAGGAGGTCGAGAGAAAAGCCCACCTCCTTTGCTTCTTGTGCGAAGCCGGAGTGAACCTTATACTCCCATACTTTACACATTGATCCGCACACACGAATTGGGGACTGAGAATTATTCCCGTTATGATCAACCCCGGTGGTAGGTATTACAATACTTTCTACTAACGGAGTCCAGAACGCCTTGGAGGTTTGAGAAGCATTGAAATTGATCCAGAGTGTGCGCCAGTCATGCGTACCTGGGAAGGCAATAAACTTAACTTTTCCAGGAGCTTCCATGATAGTGTAGCGTGGATGTGCTGAATTTATTTTTAACAAGTGCGCGTACGAGATGTCTGACAGAGCTAAGCTGATATTTGGTGCTCTGTTGTATTCATACGAAATGCCAGTGCACACCAGACTCAGGAGTATGTCTTGTGCCTGCTGCGTGGATGTGACTCCTTTCAGGGGGCTTCCATCCTCAAAGTTTTTGAAATAGGTAAAAAAGCTGCGCTCTATCTCATCGGCCGAGTACGCGTCCACCGTTCCGCTGCGCAGGGAGGAAAGGTAAATGTCCAGAAGCAATATTCGATCAACCGATAACAAGCGCTGCGCATCATGATCGATCACACGCGGTGAGTGTGGTTGCGTCATCACGGTTGGGCATCTACAGCTATAGCAGCTCCCCAAATACGTCAGAGTCCCACAGCTCGGGTCCACACAAAGCCGCGGCATTTCGGCCGCTCGGGAGAGAATATACAACCCCCAGAAAAGCCTCTTAGCGTTTCCGTTAAACAGGCTCGCCAAGGCCCATGGGACGGCACAGGAATCACACACCTTCACGGGTTTTTCAAGGAGGCGGACGTGGCGGGACCGGGGCCAGCACCGATTGCAGATGGGCCGCCAGCAGCGGCGACAGTGGTGCCGTCTCCCACGCCGCACCGCAGCATGACAGACCGCGCATTGCCCACAATTACACATTTTTTTTGTTAAATGGCAGCCCGCACAGTCCTCGACCGGGTCTGGCCGCACCACATTGTCCACCAAAAGGTCTTTTTTCACCAGAGAATAGGTCCAATCATAGACATCATTCGCCCATTGTGGCCATAAAGAAGGCCCCGCGTTACCCGTGACGCGCCCCAATTCCCTAGACGAAGACTCCAATTCTGCTTTGTCATGGATATTCTGGAAGAGTTCCATGCTTCTGCATACTTTCACTTTATTGATCAAGCTGTATAGGGGGTCGAACTTGCTTGGTAAGATGAGGCTCAAAGTATGATTAAGTTGTCCTATTCGTCAGCATGAGATTACGAAGAAGCTGCACAATAGATTCATACATGAACAATTCAGACAAACACATGGTGATTAATAAATCAATGCATATATTTATTGTTATTATTATTTCTGTAACAATGATAAGGATTACTATAGAAATTGCAGAGGTACAATAAGATAAATAATTCACTTGTAACATACACGTTAAAAATGTAAAGACATTTTTTTAGCATAAAATACTTTTTATTAATAAATGAATTATTCAAATATGCAATATAATAACAAAAAAGCCGCGTGTGTATATACGACACATTTTTTTTTCATTTATACCCCCCCCCCCCCAAATATGCATGTCAACTTTCACATATCCCTGTATATTAAACAGGGAAAAATTGCGTGAATAATAATATTAGGCCCTTAAGTATAAATGATTTTTTATCAAACCGAAAGCTCGTTTGCTATGCTTTATCATTCTCCATACCTCTCTCTATCCGTTCAAAGCTATTCGTTCGCTTAAAAAATCATTTTACTTGTGTGCACATCATATTGACAATTCGGTAAGCGAATTCCATAAAAGCACGGGGAAATGACTGTATATGTTTCTCTCAGCTATCAAATCCAAACAGTTGCCTTCTTCTCTCCTCTCTACACACAGACACATCAGAAAAGGGGAAATAGAGGGTGGTGTGTGCTCCTCCTGGAGATTTACATGCTTCATCAGTCTAATTACAGCAGTTAAACTGTTGAGCTGGTCTTTGCTCTGGAACAATCACACGACTCTCTCGGACGCTGTTTGGATTTTTAGCCTCTACCAAAGTTTTGGCGATGTTGTCAAACATCTCCTGCACACCATTCCCACTTTTTGCGCTGGTTTCGATGGAAAACACTCCTACCTCGGTTGCGTACCGTTGGCACTCTTCGGTGCTTACACATCGGCTCTCCTCTAAGTCATTTTTATTCCCTACTAACGTTATAATAGTCTCGGGCGAGTTTGTCGACAGCTCTCGTACCCAATTAAGGGCACACTCAAAAGTATCGTGTGAAATGATGTCATACACCACGAGCGCCGCGGCAGCTCCACGGTAGTACATCGATGCTAGGCTTCTATACCGCTCTTGACCTGCCGTATCCCATATTTCAAGGCAAACATCAACGTCGCCAACACGGCATGGGTACCGGAAGAAAGAAGCTCCCACCGTACTATTGAGGGTCTCACTCCACTTCTGTTTTACAAGCCGCTCCGCAAGCGAAGATTTACCCACTCCACTCTCACCCAAGAGTACGATTTTGTACCGTTTAGAAGCATTGGTGTTTGACATTCAGGGTCTCTGTAAACAAGCCCTTAGTTTTTTTTGTTTCTAGTCTGTAAATTATCCTATTTATCTTTTGTAGATCTAAAAAGGAAAAGTACTTTAAAATATTTTGTTTTATAAACCTGTTCATCGGCAATAAGATAAAAGACACAAGAAAGAAAAAGTAGACCAAGTTTTTTCTTTAAATAAGCATATTGAGTGCTTAGGGATAGAATTTTAGCCCATAATTTTTGACGCTAATTCATGTCCGAAACATAAGGCTTGGAGAAGGAACGAAATAGTGACTTAATTAGCAGCGAACTAGCCTGAGGAGGGGAGAGAGGGAACGAAAGCAGAGGAAAGTTGGGAAAGATATATAAATTAAAAAATGAATAAAATTAGTATGACTTATTTTATTTCGTATAAAGTATAAACCAGCTGTTGTGAATTTAAGCCAATATTTAGACATACGTATATGAGTATATAATTTCATGCAGTATCACGATGCATGAGACAAAAGCCCCTGCAGCAACTTAGGTGTCCTACTACCGATGCTACCATAAGGAGGAATGGAATGTTGGCCACGAGAATTCCCCGGGGCTTTGGGGTTTGAGAATGATGTGGAAAAGTGAAATGACGGCGTTTTTTGGCGATTGTTTGCGTTTGAGCAGGAATTTGGCGTTAAATACGCGTGCGATGAGGATGCCGAATAGTGTTCAGAGGGAGGGGGGTTGGGGCAAGACGGGATCACCGCGAGGGTACTATGAGTGGATGGAAGATTCTCACGATGTCGTTTTAGACCGTGGGAGGATTCCGCCCAGCCAAGCGGTTGATGCTCTCCGGAGGGTTGTAATTTGCCACCAGACAGTTGGGTTTTCGACGCTGGAGGTGTGTTTGTATGGATATTACAGTAGGGTTCAAATTCATTCAGCGAATTTTCTCCAGAGTTCTTGCGGACCTGAAAATTGTTGTTATTCAGTGTGTGTGATACCGTAGCGACGGAATGCCCCGAAGGGATAGAATCCAGCGAGGCGTATTGACCTGGCATCATCAGTTGATTATTATTATTTGTGAAGTAGGAAGGGCGCGTTTGATACATTGAGAAATATTCCTGCTGACGTTGGCGCTCTTCTAAAGCACGCGTCAATGCGTTATCTTTTTCTTGCATTTGTGACTCTAATACTTTAAATTTATCGCGCATATTCATAAGAACAGAGCGCATACGAGCAATAGTCTGTTGATAATAGAAGATTTGATTAGATACCAGTTTTGTGTTGTTTTGGAGCGTAATATCTGCATCTAGAAGCAAAGGGTTGATATTGCTAGATTTTAAGCTGAATAAATTATAGCATTTTTTACATATCGGGCATGATGATCCAAAGGCCGGGGCCGACTTTATCTTCTGTACACAACGAAAGCAGAAGAAGTGGTTGCATGAGGAAAGAGCGCCTTCCATGTCGCAGTCTGATAAACAAATAATGCATAATGGTTTAAAGGACATCTAACAATCTGTATTTTCTCTCTGCAAATACTATGCTTTCTCTTTCTTTTGGAGCCCTTATTTTACCCCAAAAACAACTCACAAAAGGTTTTGCCACAGATTTGATAAATAACTACTCACAAACTCATTGATTTTCCAAGATATCAATTATGATAATAAAAAGAAAAAGCCTTACTAAGTTTTCTATGGGCCAACCAGAAGAAAAGTATTATAATGATCGTGTTTATTTTTTCAGAATATATTTTCATTATGTAATTAACGTAGATCAAGCGTTTTTCGGCTAGTATCCATTCAATTGGTTCACATTTCTTGAACTGAGTTGCTATTGTAACATATCGATTTTTAATAAAATACACGTTTCTCAATTAATTTTGTTCATGGTCAAGTTCTCTATTCACAGAACTATCCCTTTACTATTCTGTTGCCGACATTGGGTGGTCAATTCTTTACATATCACAGGTTACCAGAGAGGGTGATATTTGACTCACCGTCATCTGCATACACGCACATGAGAAAAGCGTAGAAAAGTGAATAGAAGACGACGATATTTTACGTCGCTCCACCTGTGCCGATCCCATTTTGAAGGTGCTTGATAATAATTGATTGAAAATCTTCTAAACAGTCACCGATCACGTGCAGTTGGTGCAGGACACCGTCGTGGTGGAATTCGCCCTTGCCACGACCGGAGTACGGTTGTGTCCAAAGCAAGCAGCGATCACACAGATTCTTCGCGGCCATGCTCACGTGCGTTATGGTGCGTGTAGTAGTGCTCTTCTGTCTAATTTTACGCTCCAAATCGTCCTGCTTCACTTTGATCATCTTATGGAGGCTTTTGAACTTCATTTGTAGTTCATTGAGTTGATTTTGCAGCGACACGCTCTCACTGCTGTGCTTTTGGCGAGCAACGTTGAGGGTATTTTTGCTCCGTAGAAGATCTTCTTCAAGTTGTGTTTTTCGAAGCTGAAGAACTTTTGTATTATCTTGCAAAGTCATCCAACGCTTCATGATATCGCGTGGTTCTTGATACTCATCGCCGTCGTTGCGTGCAAGCACAGCTTCTAAAAACGTTTGATATTTACTATAATCAGCGTACTCTTGTCGAAGTTTTGACCGTTTCTCCTCTAGATCCTTTAGGTGCAGGTCAAGATGCCGCATATGTTCCTCACGTTCCTTCCTCTGCTTTTCCTCTGTAATAACCTTTTTGTTTGCTCGAATGCGTTTAAGTTCATTTTCTTGGATAAATTTGTAGTACTTTACAAGGGTGTCTTGTAGTTCCTCACGGTCCTTGGCTACCTGTTCCTCGCCTTGACGAACGGTAGCCATGCGTTGGTTGTACTCCTCCCGCTTAGCTTCTAACTCAAGCTCTACATCTAGAACTGTCCGTCGAAGTTTGGTAACTTCGGTAATACTTTCAAGCGAACTGATCATTGGATCGTTGACTAATATATTTATATGTATCTATTATCGCAGTGAAATCCATAAAATATTCACAAAGAGATGAAAGGAGACAAAGGAGGACAGTCATATCCATGTATATTTAATCGCATTGTACCAAACAGAAAATCCTACTAGTTATTTTATTTTCAGAATATCTAACCGAACAGTGTATTATCCCTTTTCGGTACAATTTTGAAGTTCCCTTTATTTAGTGTGCCACATTTTCGTTAGGAATAACGAGCGCGAAATTTATCGTCCGCACTCCCTCCCCTTTCTAATTTGAAAAGGAAAATTTACAATAGGGGAACATTTTAGATCAAATTTCGAGTCCTTTCCATTCTTTTTATTGATTTTTGGGACTCTGTTTTGCATTAGTATACGATCCTTGGCCTCAGTTTTCTCTTCAAACTAAGTGCTCCTTCCCCATCTGACTCTTTATTTCTATTTAGATATGATAGGAAGGTACAAAGCAGACGGACTCTGCTCGCTCGGCAATCGCCAATAAGGACCCGTTCGAGCACCCATCAAACGATACAAGGTGAGATGCCTCCATCGCGGCGGCACCAATCGGGATCACTGTTATTGCACCCTCATGCGTACTGTAATGGCAGACCAGCAGATGGCCCGTCTCCAATGCAATCCACAGGCGCCGTTTACTGCAGGCCATCACCCGCACATTTCCTCCAACGTTGCGAGAAAGACTGGTCGAGATAACACTCACCACTTCAATACCTACAAAGGTGTTCACCTTGGCGAGCAGAACCCCTTCCATCGTGTGTGAGCAAAGGAAGTAATAATTAATGCCGATACCCGTGGCCTTAGCAATATCGTTCACCGGTGCGGGCGTAGAAACCCAGGAGGTGCCAAAGGCAGATTTTCTAACATTGGTAATACATAAAATAGGAGCTTCACACACAGAAGAAATAATGTAGGAGTCGTCATCAGCAAAAATGAGAGACTCCACTCCGCCGTCTATGCTTGGTATGTAATAACACACAGAACTGCTCGCCTCGTGAGGGCCATAGCTCGTATCCAGTACCTTGAGGTGGGTGTGCTCACAACTCCCGCACGCCATGTATCGCCCATCCACCGAGGAAAAGCTCATTGAGGTGACCGTAATTCCTTGGGTGCACTTGTAGAACAGCGCATGGGGCACCACACTTCCCTTCGCGTTCGCGGTAGAATGCGTTGACGTGGCCGGCATCCCGTCGCCTCCGCTTCCGTTGAGATTGGCGCCCCCACCGCCCGCCCGGATACATCCGTTGAGAGTCCACAGTAATACCCCACCTCGACAACCAACCGCCAACACCTCTTTTGATAGTGGCTTCCACGCCACTGTCTGGACCTCCTTTTGAAAGGCGTGGGCGAGCACGGCCAGGTGCCGATTCTTTGCGATGTCGTAAATCACAACACGGGCGCTGCCGTCACAGCCACCCTCATCCAACACAATGGCGAGAATCATTAAATAGGGGTGAAATCTAAGGGTTGTGATCTGTTCAGAGCTCTTGATACCAGCACGATCTTCTAAAGCACCAGAACGTAGTAGCAATGGGCTGCGTCTCGGCACCGCAGAAGGAAATAGCACGCGAAGTACAGGAAATACAGACGCCGCCGCACGCAATGCCGTATCCAATAGACGATACGGTGTGTACAAACAGAGATCTTTAATAGGCGAGGCATGATTGCTACCGCCTTGACTTCGCCAGTGATAACCAAGAGAGGCCTTGTTGTCGTAACCCACGACCATTTTGTTGAGTAATTGCGGTGTAGGGTATAGGGCACCGCCATCTCGAAGATAACTATCGCGCTGGCTATCGCCGTACAATACACCGCCAACTTCACCCAGAATGGTGGGATCTTCTAGGACCAAGGTCGCCCCTGTGACATCCATGGCGGCAAATAATTCTTCTAGTGGATTAAACATAGTTGTGTTTAGTATCTAGGATTTTTTTTTCTACTAGTGAAATGTATTAACGCGGTTTTCTTCTCTTTCTTCTTACCAACAGCCACAATATTGCTTCCAGGAGGTAGCAAACTATTTGGTTTGAGCCACGCCAACAGGATCTTGGGAGAGTAAACAAGACAAGAAAAATGCTGAAAAATAAGTAAAGACTTAAACTTCCAGCGCGCTAATTGTTGTATTTATATCAAAGTTACAGGAAACTAGAACAGAAAGCACAGAATATGAATAATAAATAGCAACAACAACTTAAGGATTTTGAAAGGCATTTATACGTTGAATGGTAAGAGGCTTATAACTTGGATTAAATGGTACTCTTAAAACAATTTCAAAATGTCATGTTCAGCCTAGACGTTCAGTTTATTTTTTGTTTTTTTATTTCCACCTATAGTGGAATGCTGGTGTGAAGAGTGTTTATTATTACTCTTAATACCTTTACTATCATTTCCACTCTTTTTATTTCCCCTTTTCCCGTCTTCATCTAGTTCCTCCAGCAGCTTGGCCATTTCCATTTGTTTTTTTTCCACCAGAAGATTCTTCATGTTCTTCTGTGTGCTAGCGTTGGAAACTTTGCCTTCGTGTCGGGTTGAATCACAAATACTAGTCAAATTGTTGCCCATTTTGTTCTCCACACCAGGAACGGGTTTATGGATCATTTGCTTGTGTTCATCCACAAAAGCTCCAGGGTTGTTTTGATTAAAGAAGTATTTCATGTGATAAGCATCTTCGTCATCAACATAATATTTCTCCTCTACACCGGCGCAGCGGAAGTTTAGCGTGTCTTGGTAAAGGTGCAGGGCAGCGTCATTAGACTTGCGCACGTGCAGCGAGCAGAATGGAGCACTATATTCCTCATCCATTTCCCTCATGGTTGCTCTCATCACCCGGCTGGCAATACCCATTTTACGATGGGTACGCAAGACTGCCAAGGAGGTGATATGACCATGCTTCTTGTTTTTATCTTCCTCCTCGTCTATTTTTCCCAGGACGTAGCCGACCGTATCGCGATTGTAGCTTTGTTGTACATATAGTAGCTGCGGCCATGAGAGAATGTGATAGTAGTAGTACCGAAGGTTGTAGTTTTCGGGCAGACATAGGAGATTACACTGTTGTATCTCGTACACATCTTCCATTGTGGCACGGCGAAGCTGCATGATTTTGTATAATGCTGACCTAATTTAAATGATAATTGAATAAGTGAAGTGATTGCCGTACACAGACTAAAAAAAAAAAGTCACTTAAAAAGCACAGAGAATACAAAAGCTATTTAGAATGATTATCTTAAGAGATTTTGTTTACATTCCTTCTAGGAAATATTCTAACAAAGTCTTTCTATCTAATCGCCAATACTATCTCAAATCATAAAAATGCGCATTTAACAGATAGAGACCACGTACATACGCGTAAAAGGAATTTGATAATCTAAATTTTAAACGTAACTTTTAAACGCCTATATGAGAAACCATCAGCAATATCCTTTCTGCCTAATAGTTCGGCCTTTTTAATTTTTAGTCAAGTTTAATTATATCCCATAAACCCTCTTCTAGGGTTGTAGTGGTGTAACAGTCCTCAACGCCACCTACAGCCGTCAGAACACTTTTACGTACGAGCACAGTGCTATCGACAAGAAAATGAAGTGCGGCATTGAGAGCACGAGCACTAATAAGTCCACTAGACATCGCCCGCTTTCGCAAGGTCGTGTACAAGACACCTGGTACATAGAGAATATATCGGTAGATGGAAAGCAAAAAGAGCTTCCACATAAATACGTGGAAGGCGCCATCCACATGGTGGAACACACTTGGGTATGCAAGGGGATACCTCGCTTCGTTTTTCTGCCCAACACACAATGAAAGTGAGCCCTGTGGTTCACCCTTCGAAGCCGCAATGTGCGAGATATTTTTTTTTACTGCATCAGCTTCTTCAGCGGTGGGCATTGGATCGATTGTGATGCAGTCTGCCAGGTCAATATCACCCCCATTCCATCGTACTAAAGTTCTGGCGGGGTAAAGGGTTGCCGATGCGGCGATATCAAGATCGTTAGCAAATGATTGTGTTAGAACCTCGGCATTGGTGTCGTTTTCTTCGTCATCAGCAAATTTGTTTTCTAAGTCTTTATCTATAATATTACTGTCAGCGTCATCATACTCTTCGCGCTGGCGCTTTCGGCCTCCCCTAAGGTCCTTTTCAAGGCTTACGGAAAGTGTGCGGCGAACACTTTGCTCGGATACTCGGGCAGAAGCTGGCCAAATCAGTGTCGGGGCCCGCAACGTCGCCATCACATCATCTTCACGGGCCAACAAAGGAATTTCTTCAACATCCATTACAGGTTGAGAAGCGACAAGGATATCAAAATGAGAATTAGGTGAGGAAGAGCATGTGAAACACGGTTTGAATTCACGTCTGGTCGTGCCGGCCGTGACGTTGTTGATCATGTCGTGGAGTCTTGAAACCCAACTATGAATCAGCATCGTATTCGCACATGGCCTTGGCGCCGGGCGAGTAATGTGGGGTGAGAAAATAAACGGACGCGCAGACAACGTCAATTCGGGAATGCGATGCGAGCGCTTCCAGCAGCGTTGGCTGAAGGAGGGTTCCTTTTGAAGATAGTTGCGACCACGCGCAACCAGTTTCGCTGGAAACGCTAACACAAGCTCCTTTGCAATGGCTGAATTATAATGTGCCGCGTCCGAGAGCAGGATCATACGCAGTGAGTCTAACATGACCTCCTCGTAGTCCGAAGCTTCCATAAATTTCGGAGCTCGCGGAGTATTTTCTCGCGAGAAATCCAGGTCGTCTGGTGTCGAGGGGCTTTGCGGGCCTGGCGAATCTACCAATGACCCCACAGGTAACCCAGAGGCGTTTGGACTGAAGACCAAGCTAATACACTTGGAGAAGTTTTTCTGAAGAGACGAGAGAGCTGTTTCCGTCGTGTTCTCATTGCATGAGATGGAGTGCTGCAACACGTGTTGCAAGGCCTCCCCAAGGACGCAGAGATGGATCGCGCTGTGATTGGTGTACGGATTCACACTGAAGGCGTGGTGCTGCAGAGAAGTCAGAAAGGCATCATGCAGGGATGGGAGGCCTGTTGGGATGCCTGAGAGGTGCACACGGCTAAGCCGCTTGAGGAAGCTCAGTATACGCCACAGGCGCTTATGCGGTAACGGTGAGCTGAGAACACTCTCAAGATCCTTTGCCAACGTCACCCCTGAGGTATCTTTGCGGGAGAAAGCTGCTTGACGCGTGTGACCTCGTCGTTTATATTTTCCATGTTGAAGCAGCCCAGATGAGAGTCGCGTCTTTTCGTCCTTTCGATGTTTCTGAGATAGCGCGTCGAATGGAAGCGATCGGTTCATCCCACAACTCTGGTAAAAAGATTCGGCAAGTATGGATAAATCAAAGCGCAGCCGCCGGTTCATTGCAACCAGAGTTTCAATCGTGGGATTTGGTTCTGCTTCATAAAGCTCAGAGATGTGGAGTATGGCCGAATGTTTAACGCTTCTAGCCCAGATGGGAAACCAATACCTCAGGACAGCGCACATAGTCATGGATGGTGAGTATCGCGTATTGTCATGTAATACAATGGTGCTGTTTCTCACTAAGTCGATACCATAGCACTCCAGCTCAATTGTAATTTCCTGCAGCTTCTTTGTAATAAAGCAATCGAGAATTTCGTCGCTTCGAATCAGACCGTGGCTCTGTAGAATGCTAAGACCATGAAGTAGTGGCTGAACCCCTTGATCCTGGCAGATTTTATTCAAGCTTGGGGGCAGCAGACGAAGAGGAGTGACCCATGAGACTTTGCCTGATGTGGAATGAGTGTCGTGACCACAATACTCAGCCAGCACAGCAGTAAGATCTAACGCAGCAAATCCTACTACAATACAAAATGTGCTCAGTGACATGTTGTCGTATATATCTTGCGCACTCATAGAATACATTTTTGTGTCCTTGGTAGAACCGCAGCCACTTTGATGGATGCCATCATGCCACTGTTTCCAGAGCTCTAGGTGTAAACGACCAGCACGATAGAGCGCACTACGTGCGTAGCCATTACGTATGGTCATTATCTTGCGTGCTGTAGCGACCATGCGAAAGTTTGGATTGCTGAGATGTAGATGTGCCACCGATTTTCCAACCCCGTCTACCGTGGCAGGTATATTGGGGAGAAGGACGTCTAGTTTCAGTTGCCGTTTATTAGACTGAGCGACAGAAAGCAGCATGTGTTCTTCAGGAACGACTGCATTATGAGAGGCTTCCACGACAGCGTGTTTTTCGTCCTCGGTCAGGATCGTCCCGGCTAGCACCACAATTCCCACACGTTCCCTATTTTTTAGTGTGATTCCGGTAGTCGTGACACGGTTGATTAATCGCAAGTAGGGTATCACGCGATGCTGCAATGGTTTAATACCAATAATATTGGTAAGATCTCGAATAGAGAGAGCCTTATGCGGAGAAGCCTTCAGTGCATCAAGAACAACGTCGATGGAGTATTGCGATGTCCCTGCAGGAAGTGGAGTGTTTTCTGTCGGTTCATCATCAGGTCCTGTGTTTACCACGCTTTTAGGGGGTTTTGCCTTTGGGGCATACACCAACGTGAAGGAAGTGCTTTTCGCTGCTAATGTGTAGTATGTCTCTAATGTGCCATGCTTAATATAGTTTGTCATGTACAAACTTAATGCCTTAACGCGCATCTTATCACTTGTGCGAAACACCATCCGAGGGTACGCTACCATGAGTGAAATTGGTCGTCTTTCGGCTTCCTTAGCGAACTGGAGTTCAAAGGGCCAGCCAGCTGATATGTAAAGTGGAGTTGCTGCCACTTTGGAGCGTTTCTGCGTCTCATTCATTTCCTGGAAATTCTCCTTTTTAGGGCATACATTGTCCATCCTTGATATAGATGCATTTTCATCATCGGAGGCCGAAGCGCTCATACTGCAGATACTGGTGTCACTTTCCCTATCTACTGAATCATTTTTCAATGCATTGTGGTGCGTTTGAGGTGAATTATCCGCTGTTTCGTTCAATTTTTCTCCCTCAGGCTCCACCACGTCCTCATTTTCATATTCAACATTTTCTTCCTTTAGCTTACATTCAATTGAAGACAGGATCGCATTTTCTTCCAATTTAGCCCTTTTGACGCTTCTCATAGTACTTATTGCAAATTTGTATAAATCCTCTTCTGGTATGACAATTGAAACCTTCCGCGGACGATTATGCACAAGAATTGTCACCTGTAGGATGCGAAGGCCTGCCGCTATGAGCATATGGCGTAAGCGCATACGATTACGTTTATCGATCTCGATAACGCGATGTGGATGCAAACCATGAACCATAAAGATGGTGTGAATCGCATCTTGGTACAGAAGCTTCCTTTCTGGCGACGATCTAACAATGTGTTTGATTGCTTTCAGATCGAAAACGCAATTTTGTATATTACTGTTAGCTTGACGTAAACGCCAGAAATAATGATTTATTGGTTGATAACCTTTTATGTTGCGTTGATGTATGAGCTCCTGAGGTGTGCGGTTGGTTCCAGATCTCAAATTTTCATTGTTGGGGGATTGTAGCGCAGATAACGTGCCTAGTTCTGTCTTTTCCAGCTCGGTCAAAGGAGCAGCGTACCACGGAAAGTATCGACATGTCAGCTCATGCGTAGTACTGTCCATAAGATAATACATCGACAGCATCCGATTGCGGTACATCCGGGCTATTCCAGCTGTTATAACGTACTGTTTATACTTTGCTGGGAGCTTAGTTTTTACAACGACTTTGCTGCATCCGTAGAGGGCGTTTTCCGAGACATAGTCTATGGTCTGCCGATCATTGCAGGTGCGAATGGGTATACCAAGAACTTTTTCACGTAATTCATGAGAAGGACATATGTGCACCAGATGAAACACCGATTCTGGAGAGGTATCTTCCCATAATGTACGTTTTTCGTCAAGCATCCGAGTCAGCTCAGATGGTGTCATTTTTTTTTGTAAACACATATTAGAACTCATGTTTGGGGTGGTGCTGGAATTGGAACCTTGCCCTGAACTTATGCTCACATTCATTTTCAGCGGCTCACCATTGTTGTGACATTCAAGGCTTTGTAAGACAAACCTCACCTCAGAGCTGAACTCGTTGATCAAAAGCCGCACAACACTGTCAAGCAAAGTATGGTTGCTGGCCCAACCGCAAAACGGGAAGACATCCTTGTCCAGAAACTCTCCAAGTGTAGCTAATGTGCATCCTTCATTCTCAAGATGAATGGCGACAAAGCTTAACGCAAAGTCCAAAGCCTCCTGAAACATTCGTTAGCCTTGAAAAGAGGGAAAAATATATTATAATGATCAAGGTAATTCTATCAGGTAAATTGTATATTCTATATTAATAGTTATAAAATGGCATTTGAAGGGGTTTCTATGGTGGCAATGAGTTTTTTCTACTCTTTGCGCGGCGCTCTACCTTTTTACACCGAGTAACGCAAATAATTACGTCGTAAATAAGACTAATAAATAAATTCACCTAAAATGTACGCCTTTATGTGTAAAAGTAAATGGAGAATAAATCAAATATTACGATTAAAAAGGATATGAAACAATTTTTAAAGGATAATTTTTTGAAAAGTACCAGGATTATATTATATTCTCAGTGAGACTTGACAGGCAACAATTTCAAATTATCTACACCTGAATTAATTTGTATCTATGGTATTCTGTATCTTCTATGTTTTGCATGAAGCAACTAAAATGACAATAAAATGAGCGGAAAAAACGTCTGACGAAATAGAAATTCTATGGAATCCCTATCACTATTGTAACCACTGTTGTGTTAGTCTGCATCACACTCTTTCACTGCTGACATACTTACTGAGGAAGCAGTAGTTTCGCTATCCTCTTCAGTAGTATCATCATCTCCTTCTGAGACTGATGAAGATGAATGAGTTGAGTGACTGCTACTGAAAGTGTCATCTTGTGTGCTCAAATTTTCCTTCTGTCGCGGCACGTACCGCTTGTGCCTGCCTGTGGTTACACGTATTCGTTTCTTCGTGTACCGCTGGCATGCACCTGCTGACAGTGTGGTACTACATCCGCGCTCGACGCCACCGATGCCTTCTTCAAGTATCCCGCTTTCAAGTTCTTGACATAGAAACACTAAAGCTTCTTCTGCTTCTTTGGATGAAACCACCAATAGTGCAGACGCACTCTTTCTTTGTTCCTTTCCGTTGACTACTTTACCATGTTCATGGACGATGTTAAGTCCGCTGCATAGGGGAAGGAGAGTACTGGCATGGCGTGTCAATGTTTTCACACTAAGATGGAATACTCCAACTTTATTGTTTTTGTGATCTTGTTGGTAAAGTGAAGTATGCAAGAGGTTGCCCCGTAGGGCGGAATTATGCAGTTTGAATGACTTCAGTCGGTGTTCCGTGCACACAGCGCGGTAAATATATACAAGAAGCACCATACCCACACATTTCCAGAGAGATACAATATCCATAAGAGGTTGCTTAATGTCACCCACTTGTGCACTTCCACTTTTCGTCTCCCGGTAGGTTGTGAGCAAGGATGAGACCTGATCTAGCGCACTTTCGCCGTGTAGGTCGATACCAGTGCGGCAGCGCTGTGCCAGATGCAAAATATCGCTTTCAGAGCTAAATGGTAGTGTGGCAATAACCACTGCCAGATGTCCCAGGAAGGTAATGGGGTTCGAAACACAAAACATATCCTCGATAGGCCTCCCAGATACCTTATTATCATTTCCACTTACCCACGCCTCTGCTTTGGATTCATTGTAAAAGTACCTCAGCAGGGACACGATAACCCCGTCCCGAGAGGGCTTGTGCATCAGTGTGAAGAGTGGGGCGTGTATGCTTTGTCCTACAGCTGCGCCGTCGCTGAAGGTGGCCGCACTCTGAATAAGGTTAACACCACACAAGTGATGAATATCGTATGTCAATTCTATTCCGCGACTTGCGAGCGATGCAATGTCTTCGTGCTGATCATGATACGTGAGTAAAAACTGCACCGAGCTCTGCCGAAGCCCAGGGTCGACATCCGCCGCCAGTGCGATCACTGCGTGGAGATACTTAACCGGCGGCAAAAGCCTACCCTGCGAGGTCAACTGTAGTATGTCCAAACACAGTTTGCGAATCGTAACGTGCTGGGTTTTGCACCGCTCAATGATATGTGAATGAAATTGTTGTATGACCCAGGTGGCCATGCCGCTGCTCTGCTCTGGTAGGCTAAGAGCATCCTGTGCAGACGCCATAGCAACACGAGTTCTTTTAATACCTCTGGGGGGATGACGGCCTCGTGACTTCACATGCGCACCACCCTCCCTGTCACTTTTTTCCGAATCTTGATCAAATAATACAGAAGCATCTGGGCTCATTTTTGATCCCAGACGTGAAGCGCAATCAACCCTAGCGTCTTCATCGGCCAAGAAATCTAGTATGAAACTGAGGCCTTGCGTTTGGTGAGTCACATCAGTCGGGTCAGTGAGCGCTTCCATAAGATAGGCTTCACACCGATGCAAAAATTCAATAGGCTGCAGCATACATAATGATGCTAGCACACGAAGCGTAATCACGTTTAGCCGTGAACGAGTATCCTTGTCGCATTGGGTGCGGACCTCCACGACCAGTTTGTAGATGTTTTCACAAATACCGCCACCCTTGACTAACATATTAGGGACAGTGCTCCCGGATGATGCCGCGGCATCTTGGTACAGCACAGGATGAGGTGTGCGCCATCCAGGGTATGACCTTAACAGTTCTGAAAGGAGAAACAAAAAGCGCTGTATGTAGGCAATGTTTTGAAGTTGGTTCATCAGCTCCGGCAGCAGGCCTTTTACGCGCATATAGTACAAGTTCATAAGTGAATAGCAGACTCGTAAGTAGTTTTGGTTGATGTAAGAAGAGAGCTTGTGCTTAGCACCACAGGTGATCATTGAGGAAAGCGCACCACATGAAGACGCGATGATGCGCTGTTGATATGGTCCTGTGTACTTAGACAATAGTTTTGTCAAAGAGCGGGCGAGGTCCTCAAGGGATATAGTTGGGACCTTGGGGGATGAGAGCACCGCTTTGATAATATGGCAAGTTTGCAGAAGCACACCACCGAGCCATTCATTCCCTCTTTTAGATAGCTGGTCCTTCAAGGAAAGAGGTGTGGAAGTCAAGGGATCTTCCAGCCCAGACACAATGATATCTATTAATGGATCAATCCACTCGTTTGCCACAACTGCGAGCACGCGAAGGGTTGCCATACAGAGAACACTTTCTTTGGCTGTGGTTGCAGTTTGTTGCCTATTCCATAGACTTCGCGCTACATTTCGCATGATATGCTGTATATCTCCCCCGCTACTTTTCTGCAGCTCTCGCACGATTCCAGTAATTTCTGCAGTCTCTAACAATGGCGCTGTGGCTTCAAGCTGCCTTAAACCATGCAGCAGATGGATAAGAGGATGATCGTCTTGCACCTCAAACGGATACTCAGGGGCACTCCTCAAAACAAGGGCAAGAAGCTCAGAAGTGAGACGGATATGATGCATCATACCCATCGCTGTGGAAACCATATCTTCGTTCGCCGAGAATTCGAGTACCCAACGCTTGCAAAAAAGCCTAATGATTTCGGTGGTATGTTTCGGATTCTTTACTTTTAACAGCAGCCTATATTGGATGAAGCCAAAGAGCTCTTTGCCTGGGGTTGAATCCAGTAGACTAGCATACAGGCGATTCGTTACCAACGTTTCAAGAGCCACTATGGCGCGCGACACCACCGTTACGCTTTTGTCTTCTAATAGCCGAAGCAGAAGACTGACAGCGTCGGTGGTAAGATTATTCTCTTCCATAGACAGAGTGCTTACCCCAGCGGAAGCAGTTAGCACACTCCTTACCATTGTCAGCAGCAGCGACACACTCAATTCGCGCATGTATACGCAGTTCTCTCGAGCACATCGTCGTGCAACAGGCCATAATAACCGAGATACCGACGGACACATCTCAGCGATACGCGAAAGGTGATGTAGACTTTTCTTGGCGACTGCGTCTGAGGCTATCAATGTTTCCTGTCCGTGATCATCTTTGACATGTAGAACATTCAGTAGAAGAGAGACGAGCATTAGCCGCGAGTTTACGTTAAGCATCGATTCATCTTCATGTGCGCGCAACGTACGCCCCCAATGATGAAGTTCAGCTAAATCGACGCGTACGCCCGCACATGGTACTGCCTTGGCCTGGATCAGTTGATCTAACGCGCTCGTCGGTAAAGGCGTGGTGTTGTTTAGATGCCAACCTAACACGTGGACGGCGCGTGCGTGAAACCATAGCGAAGCCTCATCCGCTTCCGAGGTTGTTTCTACATAATGAGAAAGTGCATAATAAATTAACCGTCGAATTTGGTTTGTGATGGATATTACAAGATTTTCATCCTTCGACACGAGATGTTCGGAATTTTGCCCACTGGTTGAAGCTGTATCACATTCCTTTGTATCTAGTTCATAAGTTTTACGTGTTTTGCTGTTTACGGCGCCACGTTGGTGCCGCGATGGACCTGAATTTTCGTGTGTTTTAACAGACTTGCCTTTTGTTGTACATTGTTGCATCGCATTAGCCCAGTATTCCAAAAGAGTCTTGTTCATCATTCCGTTGAGAGTTTCCGCTCCTTGTAGCTTTTGGGACTGAAGCACTGAAGACAGATCAGTTATCGTCGGATGAAAAAGTTTTAGCGTCACTTCTGCAATAACGTCAATGGCAGCAGTGGTATGCACAGTAATGTTGGAGGAAGCAAGCTTGTTGCTTTTAGTACTTTTCCGGCGAATAGTGTTTCCAAAAAACGCTTTTATGAGGGAAAGCACACATGAGCGAAGAAGCATATCGGCAGCTGGCCAGTCCGGTGCTCCAATGAGTTTCACTAGATCCTCTAGAAACAAGGTCAGTATGCTCCAAGTAATGGTTTGGAGTGGCTTCTCATCTTTTTCGTGCTCGAAAATTAGTTGATTCAACAAACAGTCAGCCCACAAGTCGCATTGGCTTTGAAGACAGACTGTGAGGTGGGAACCAGATGCATTGGTATCAATTGGCACTGACTGAGCAGCACTTAGAATTGCCACAGTCAACGGCAGCAGCTTATTGCCATCGAGACACACCAGGGTTCGCAGTGTGAGATAGTTAGAGAGCAGCATTCGTGAGAAAAAACGCTTAGCTGTGACTGTGCGTTGAGATTCGAGTCGATTCCACAAGCAACGATAGGTATGCAGAGCGCAGTCAGTTATGTAGTTAGTATACCAGAGGTACACGTCCCTTGTTACAGATCGATGTGGGGCCACGAAAAGCACATGATAAACAAGATCCTCTAGTCGTATGAGTTCAGTATCCGGAACTAAGTCCAACGTGCGATTACAAACAACCGGAGCCAATCGTTGCAAAAAGAGACGAAGTGCTTCGATCCACTTCAGCATCGTTTTAGGGGGGATAAAGTGCTGCCTACAGCAGACACTTAGCTCGTTGGGCATGTCTTGGCTGATTGGGAGCATGTTTGCCTCCGCTGTATTGCATTTAGTCCATCGGCCCCGTGCTACCTTGCTTTCATGTACATTTTTCTCAGGCGTAGGACGGTATAGCTCAGCAGTTACGTACCGAACAACGCTAGCAAAGATAGTAATGAGCCGTTCAATTGTGCCGTCAGGTATCAGTTTGACATCAAACACAGTGTAGGACACGAGTGTAATGCAGCACATAGCACGTGCGGTCCTTAGCCAGTCTTTTTGGTAGGATGACGGGTTCCTTCCTCCCTCCTCGGCTTTGTCATCCGCTACTAAGGCAGAAACCAAAGAGGACAACTTATCCATCGGAACTTCTTTGAATGAGTCGGGTCCCAAAGAAGGTGTGTACGCAAAAGACAGAAACCCTGTAACATCCTCAGAAAGGGTATTCATATTTTCTAACATTTCGGTTAAAATATCTTTACTTGCGATGTTCACTTCAACTATAGGAGAAGCACTCTGTTTTTTTGTGAGTGAATCTGTTATCGTATAATTTCGAACTAGAGGTTCGACCTCAGGAGACGTCTGCTGTTGTTGTTGAGATGGCATTGAGGTCTTGTGCGGCTGAGGTATCATGTGGGAGCCTGAAGTCCAGTTACCACTTGGAGTATCTTTCAAACTACTCGGACGGGAAATGGTAGTGGCTCGGGAGGTTGCCGATCTAAGCTGAATCATTAACGATTCAGTAACTTGCTTCTCCAAATATGATACAGCAGAAGCAGTGGGGATGATATCGGTAGATTCATCACACTGCTTAGGTGTAGAAGCGGTAGCAGGCATAGATGTGCTGGACGCTGCAGCACAAGATTCGCTATGAAATTCTTCCTGCAGGAATCGTGTACATTGACCAGAACGTAATAGATCCGTGATACATGTCTGCATGTTTTGTGCCATATTTTGTACTTCAGTAAGTTCCCACCGATATTCATTGCTACCACTTTGTCCTGGTTCAGCTGCTTCTCTGGAAAATGTAGGGACACTCTGAAGTTCTGCTTCCGAGTGCTTTTTATTGTCAAGCGTGTCGTCCTGATGATGAATGTCAGCGGACTTCTGAAAGGAAGTGATACGTGTTGGAACAATGAGCTCCGGAATTGGATAGGAAAGGAGGAGGTGGTGAATAGGACTGACTGCGCATTCTAGTGAGGTCATCATGGGTCGTGGGAACTCGTCTTCTTCAAGTTCTTCACTGCATGGTACATCCATAATAAGTACTAGAAATCGGGTTACAAAGTACTTAAATGTTGATATGTATGTGATCGAATACAAGAGGTTTTAAAAGGATTCTTTTCTCTACCTCATAAAGAAAGATACCTTCAAAATAAGTGAAAGATGAGTGCAAATCTTGCTTATGATAAAGTGTATGGAATTATTCTTATTCTTTTCGCTATATGTTTTACAATGGGTTATTTAGTCCCTCAAAAGGCAAAACTCTGACAAGACTATGCTCCTTCTAATATATAGCTATGCTCGTTTTATGTGCTTGTAGGTATTAATTATTGTTCTCAGCACATATCACACTATACCACAAAAATAAATAAAGTAGAAATTGTGTGAATGGTAAAAGCAAGATAATGAACTGTATTAACTCAAGTGTAAATAATAATAATAATAATAAAGCGAAAAATAGAAAAACATTTACTCACAATGCGTTTCCTTGTTATGCATACAATAATTTCAGTAATTAAGTAATAAAGCCCTAGTTCAAACTGACTGTTAGAAATGATGTATGTCCACTCATTCATTCACTACACTTTCGAGTAGTATTTTTTCGTTAGCTGAGAATTTTATCCTCAACTGAAGTTCCAACTGATGGTAGGGAAAGGGAGAAGAAGGGGCTACATTGTTTCTGTACCATTTCCTGAAGTTTGTATATAGGTATCACTCGTATCATGGTCTGCGCAAAATGTTTGCAGGCTTCCTTAACTCGCTCATCAGTGTTTGTCGGGATGCGAGGAAGACATCCTCGCTTGTACCACGTCAAGACCAATGGAAGAACTTCCTCGACCATGCGGTGACATAGGAAATCGATCGCTATGAGAAGCAAGGCCTCCATTCCATCAAAGACAGCAAAGAGGGCAGGGCTCACAGGTACGGCTTCCATGCGGCGCTGTTCTCCGCCACTAATTTTGTTTGATTGTAAAGCAGTAATCACAAAGAGAGCAATAGGCTCCTTTAATTTACTGAAGAGACAGAGATAGATGCGGTAAACTGTCTTGAGATGACTGCGTGGTAGTACAATTGCACACTCTTTTTCTTCCTTCGGCAATAATGCCTCGTTATTGGAGGAAACAGTCTCAGAGAACCACGGTAACGGAGGAGACTTTAGGGTTGCTATCTTTTCTTGCTCATCTTCTTCGTCTTCACAAGGAGGATGATCTACTCTTTCTGCAGAGTCAGCAACCTTATGCCACTCTTTTTTTTCTATTATCGCCTTACGTCTGTTTTCTTCAAATTCTTCTTGACGGGCTTGACGCCACGTTTCGGCTTGCTTTGTGGTGAGAAAAGAAGTGAGGCCTCGAATAAGTACTTCCACAACATATGTGAAGACACTTGTGTGCTGCGCGCAGTGTGAAATGACCAGCATCATAGCTTCTAACACCTTTAACTGCAATAGCTTTACGTGATTGTTGTAGGAAGTTGTCTGGCGATCGTAGTCGTCATCAGCGGCTTCGCGTTCTGTAGACATATTCAAAAGTGTGCCCATATCAAAACAATCTCGCATCAGAGTCAAGGTTGCTTTCAAGCCGTTCTCATCAATATTCTCGGCACCAATTCGACATCCATCAGCAGCTGTATCAACAGCCGAGCGGACAAAATAGGCCACACGCGAAGTCTCGGATTCATCTTGAAAAAGACGGAGCTGAGTCACGGTACGAACCTCAGCTATGGATAGGCGTTGGCGCACCAATAGGGAAAATCCAGAGCTTCGACCGTGAAACATGAAGTTCACCATGTTGATGTCAGCTTTGTAATCATCCATATTGTGGTCCCTAGTTTTTGTGACCTTCTCTTCTGAAAGAATGCGCCGTTGTAAATACTTAGGTCCAGTGTTAAAGCTACCCTCAACGACAAATTCTATTATACCACGTAGCACGTTGGCTACGGAAGTTCGTAGAAACGGTTGCTTGATGGCTCGAGAAGCTGCATCAACCAGGGGCAGACAAACACTTGAAAAGTAGCTCATTGGGTTATCCTCACAGGACGCTTCTATACAGTGCCTAATGCATTCCATGGCTGCATCTCGTACAATCCCTGCAGTAGATGCCTTTTCAAGAATCAAGTATAGCACAAGAGTGTTGAAGCGTTCAAAACTGTGGCGTCCTTGCGTTTCCCCCGATAGGACTGACGGCTTCAGTACATCAGAAGCAGCTAGCGAAAGAAAACGGAGTATGGTTGCTGCCACAACCTGACGATGATGAACTTGCTGATAGTTGCATAGTTCCTCATCCTCTGCGATATTCCAGAGATGTGGCGCTGCCACAACAGACCATAGCTGTTCAAATCCACCCTGCGCAACGAAGTCTGAGGGTACAGGAAAATATGAACCATGCTTTCCTTCCCCTTCCTCGAGTGCTGGGACAAAGCTATTGGAAAGAGAGTCTGGAATGGGTTTAAATTGCCAGAGCACGGCCCGAGTCAGCACGTAGATGGTCGGAGCATGGATCATATAAAGGTCCCAGTCCTGCAGAATAGCATCACACTCATCCAGCAGGATATTCGTGAGGATTTCGCCATTTGTTTCATGAGTGTCTGTTATTGATGCCTCACAGCCATCTAGATTGTAAACATTGATTTCAGCTAGGGCATGGGCCAGACACTCCAAGACTTCATCCACAACACCACTAGGGTAGCGACGCGGCTGTCGGTTTGTATAGAGTGCGTCTTCCATCATTTCAGTAGCTACAATGCGAATCAGCTTACGCACAAGCGTTTTGAAAAGCATCACACCGTCTTCAAAACCAGAAATAATGATAGGACGGAGAAACGAGAAACGCAACACTGTTGTGAGAACGTGTAGGAGTTCTACTCCACCAAGTTGCCTCAGCGCACTAGAGAGAGCCTGTGTCGCCGTCTTCATTTTTAGTCGACACTCCACGTCCTCAGTCGTGGTACGATCGAGGTTGAATCCCGTGTTCGAATCCTTCTCCTTTTTCTTTCCCTCACTGCCACCGGTCCTTTGAAAGTGATAAAGGTTTTCAACCACCGCGAAGGCGACGATCAAGTCCTGCACTAGGACGCTCGTCTCGCCGAACTCCATCCCAGGGCAGCACATTAGATCGGAAAAGAACGCTCGGAGTTGGTAAACAGTGGATTCATTATACCCATTCTTTGTGAGATTTTTTGGTTCCAAAAGAGGATGCATAACGCTGGACAAGTGACCGATCGTTTCCACAATCCACGGTTCATTTTTCTTAGAAGCAAATGTGATCATCAGCGCGTTATGTAATACATTTAGCGCCTTCAGTTGAACTACTGCTGAATCCTTTCCCAGATGAGATCTGTCAAGATAACGAACCGTTGCAGAGACGACGCCAGGAAGACATTTACGGACGTTTTTAATACCAATTGCCTTAAAGACGGCCAAACATGCAGACAAGCTTTCTACCTGCAGTTCCTTGAACCACTGCTTTGAGTTCCCTGAAAGAGATTTCAACATTTCAAGAATGAATAAGGCCGCCTGTGGGTGGTATGCTTCGCCTTGGAAAAACTCTGGATGCGATTTAGCACCCTTTTCGTGGAAGACTCGCACCGATCGCACAAGTGACACTTTAATTTCTTCGTCTGAACCCAATGATGAGATTGTGGACGATTGTAGTGTTGAGGACGGAGAGCATTGCTTTTGTCCATTCAAAAGGTTAGGTTTCAAAAAAGCTTCAACAAACGCCTGTTGTAGAATCTGAAGTAGTTCATCGATGGAACCAATCTTGTCCATATTTTTCACGAGATCCTCAAGCAGTAAAGATAAAGTTTCATTATTCATTATTGGAAACCTTTAGTTTTGTCTTCGCTTTATGCACACACACACACACACGTACAGAAAACAACACCTAATATAATGACTTTAGTAAGATTATATATCAGAAACAGACAAATAGAAGAGATAATATTTTTCAGAATATATATATGGAATAACGTGGAATGGATACACGAACATACAGGGAAATGTAGAGACAATCCAAGAACGAACCCAAAATGGGAAGGGTGGGGAAACAGAAACGTGAACATTATTGAGTAGAAACATACTCATCGGTGTATCTACTTTTCCCCTCCCCCCTTACCCATCCTTATGTTTTGATTCAATGCTGATTCCTAACTAAAAAAGATCATCATAATCGTCAACAGCGAACCCATAAAACTTTGGAGTTTCATCGTATAAAGCTTCAAAGTAGTGAACATAGTGATTCTCGATCTTCTGCCGTGCGTAGCCCATCTTAGCCGTTATAAAGCCATTCGCTAGAGTAAACTCATCGACAAAGGCAAACCGACGAACATGGGTACGAGGCGGAAGGTTCTTCGACACACGCCTCAATTCTGCACGAACAGTATCCGCTTTCTCTCGTTCACTGACAATAGGAAGCCCATCGCGTCGCTCTACTTTGCGCAGATGTGCCGCGATCGCCTTGGCATTCGGCACCACAAGAGCAACAACATATGGTTGATTATTTCCATAGACGAAAACTTGCTTTATGAAAGGACTCTTCGATAATGTGGTTTCAATTTCGAGTGGATTCACAGTCTTCCCGTTAGCCAAGGTAATAAGGACATCCTTGTTGCCTTTTACAGTCATCCAGCCGCCGGTCATAGAGCCATAGTCACCTGTTCGCACAAATGAGCGACTCCCGTACTCAATGAGGGAGTTTTTTGCTTCTTCTGGGTCGATATGAACGTCAAAGTAGCCCTGCATAGCGTGAGGTGACTCTACAAGAATCTCCCCCAAGTCGCCAGGAGCAACAATTTCATTTTTATCATTTATGATGCGCACTTCGATACCAGGAAGTGCCCTCAAACGTTGTGGGACATCGATATCTGTAGAAATAAGTCCACCAGCCTCCAAACAGCCGTAGGTACTCACTACAAACACATCCAGATCCGCCATTAACTCTGCTTGATCTTTTGTGAGCTGATGGCCAATAATAATAGTAATACGTAGTTCAGTGCCAAACTGCTCCTTAAACTTCCCAAGTAGCATGTTTGAAAAGGCTCGCAGCACTCGGCCTGGTTTTTTCATCATAAGGCGATTTTCCGTGATACGACCAATCGTAAGGCGGGTGAGATCCTTTGTAAAGGTCCCTCGATTCATGACATCGTCTACAATATTAGCATAAGCTCGTTGAAATGGTTGCGCAACAGACACAATAACGCTAGGGTTGACAAGAGGTAGATCCTGAAACCCCTCGATAAGTTCTGGGGGAATGCAAATACAAGCCCCTTTGCAGATTGCCTGATACAGCTCTGCCGTTAGGGCGCCTGCAACAGACCAAGGACACAGGGACATAAAGAGGTCAGTGTGTGTCAGTGCCTCACCTAGGCTAGCGTAAACAGAGCTGATGTTGGCTACAATAGCTTTGTGTGAAAGCATCACTCCCTTTGGGGGTCCTGCTGTCCCGGAGGTGAACATGATCATTGCCGTATCCTCCGCTTTGATATCCGTTCGTGGCGCTACCTTTTCCGGAACATCCGCTGATATATTAATCGCTACGGTGTAGCTTGCTTCCCCAAGTTGGTCCTCGAAGCAAATAACATGCTCCAACTGTCCAACGCAACCAATCCACCCTTTTACCGCTGCATACGAGGTTGTTGTTTCCACGAAAAGCACTTTTGACTGTGTGGTACGTGTTACCAACTGTGCCTCAGATGGCGTAATATTAGTGGGTAAGGCAACGAATTGTGCACCTAGCTGCATTGTCGCAAAGTGCACAACTACCCACTCATAACGATTTTCGCTAATAACAATCACGCGAGAGCCCTTATCAACACCCATTTTATGTAGCAGGATTCGCATGACATCAATTTCTTTAGCGATAGATTCGTAGGTAGCCCATATGTACCCCAGCTTACCACGTACCCACATCTTGGCACCAAGGAACCTTCGATATGGCCACGCTTTTACAGCCTGTTCCCAGAGTTCGGTCAAGGTGCTTTGAGGTTTGATGACGATACCTAAGTGAATGTCGTTTTGCATTGTGTTCGATCCCGCAGTATCTGATTCAGGGTAAAACGTACCGGCGACACTAGATCCAAATCGAAGTGAGAACCGCAAGTGAGATGGACGCCATTCACTGACTCTACAAGTGGTACGGCGTAATGGAAAACTAAGCCATCTATACATCGCTAAGTTCCTTTTACAATTTTACGGAAAAAATTCTTTCTTTAATTGTCTCCGTACGTATATGCGTATACATGTATACACATGCGATAGAAATGGCAGACTTTTTTTCCCCCATAACAAATAATGTTATAACAAAAGAGACAATAAAAACGTCAGGATGAAGATACAAGTTCTTTTGTTGGGAAGCTGTTTCAACAAAAATGAATGATCGGCATCATTTATGCCATTTACGATTGATTTTTCAACTTTCACACATGTTTTGTATTATGTTACATCAATAACAGTAAAAGGAAACATCGCTTTCTCTCTATATTAAGAACAGAAATCATTTTTTTTTTACATGGCACCAACATCATCAGCTTCCTCCATCTCATCCTCGCTATCCGCCTCTGGCGGCCCTTCTCCGCGACGAACAAGCTTTTCTACTGTCGCGGTTGGGTCCATTGCTTCCACCAGGTCCGAGCACTCAGACAAAATTTGAGGTGCCTGTGGCGGTGTAAAGACGTAGTCCATCTTTTTAAGGCCTGATCCGAAGTATGCACAACCCCAACGCTTGCCATTGCTTCCAGCATACGCGAAAGCACCAGGCCATCTCAAGGAATGCATTGCCACGATACGGTGCTCCTTATTTGTGTTGTTCACGATACGTACCTTCCACGCAGCCACTTTTAGTTTGGTGACGTCATCGTCAGGGACATCATCATCATTCTGAGGTTTTAGCGGTACGTTGTCCTCCTGTTCCTCCTCTTTTTCATCTTCCATACCTTCCTGTATATCCGATTCATCATCTCTCTCCTCATCATCAAGATCCGGGGGGGGCTGCGGAATGTTAATAACTGCATGTAAGTAATCTGATTTGATAGGGTTAAACAGTTCGGGTTCCTCCTCTTCTTCAATTTCCTCTTGTGCTTCCTCTTCTTCATCAGACTCATCATCTTGAACATCTTTGGTTTCTTCCTGTTCCTCGTCCTCAGTTTCTTGTTTCTCTGGTACTTTTGTTTGGCGTCCGTTATTTAAAATCATGTTGTCCGAATGCACCCACTGGTTTAGCGAAGCAAGCTGAGCAACATCAATTTCATCTTCACCATATCCTGGGGCTGGGATAGTGAGTGGGCGATATTTTGCTTCCTTTGGCTGTGCATGTGAGGGTTGCTCATCATCGTCACCGTATTCTTGACTTTCAAAGTCCTCTGATTCGTCTTCAGGTCTCTCAAGCGCGCCGACAGGTGAGATAAAAGTTCCACTTACAATTCTCGATAACTGTGCGCGAAGATATATCGATTCCTTCCACGGAAACGGCGCACACCCAACCACATCTGCGTCTAAGTTCCCGGTAAAACGGCTGTTAACCCGTCGTGCGGCGTTAATTTGCTGTGGTGTGACGTCGGGAAGGAGCACCCAGCCACTTGAGGGGCGTGAGGCAACCCAGTAGGACAGCCGATTCGTCCCTACGAAACCGGGCTCGGGTTGCACCATGACCTCTGCCTTTTTGCGCAGCGGCTTTGGCATGGTATTGATCTCTTGAAAAATCTTTTCGTTGGGTCGAACATAGCGGCGACTGGAGATCACCACGTAATTTGCGTATCGACCGAATATTTTACCAACAAAGCGAACCTCCGTCAGACCTTTATCCATGGCAAGCTTTGTGATAGAACGTTCAAAAAAGAAAGCTTCTTCCTCGGTGATTCCGTATCCAGCCTCACACCAGAACTTGTTTTGCTGTGTTATTGAATCACATGAAGGCGCGGTTAGTGGGGTCACTTTAGTAGTGGTAATGGTTGTACAAGGGTCGGGTTGCTCAATAGTGGTGTGCACCACAGGTTCCGGCCGCTGAAAAAGAGCTTTGTTTTCTCGCAAATACTTTAGCTCAATCGGGGAAATTGATTCAGGCTCGTTGCGCGAATCAGTGCTTTCTCCAAGAAGAAATGCATGCTTTTGAATTAGACGTAAAACGCTTTCAAACTTTTCTGGGTTGTGTGCCGCATCTTCCGGGTTCTCATCCAATAATAACTCCATTATACGAACAAGCTGATCGTAAACACTGACGCCATCTTTATTTGCACGCATCAAGTAAGCCTTTGCCTTCTCGAAGAGGATTGCTTCTAAAGTTGAATTGGTTGTCTGAGACATATTGGCATCCAGTCTATTTATTCCTTTGTTTTAATATACTCGGCTTCCAAGTTTCAGGTAAAGCAGCTAAGAATTCACTAAGAAAAAGTAATAACGAAATCCGAAAATAATACATGTGAATACTTCCCTCTCAAAATGCTCGCCCTCAATTATGTGATCACAATCCATTAAATGTTTAGCGAAATGTTTTTCTAATAGAAGTTAGCTCACAAAGGCATCAGATAAGAATAATAATTGAATAATAATTAGCAGGAAAAATAGAGCGATAACAATCGATAATCAGGAGGGAGGAAAGGGTTGGGGTATGGAAAAATATTTTGAAGTATACTAGCAGCTTATATTCAAATGATGCGCTATACGGTCTATGTATTTTTGCATAAATGGGTCCGATATAAGTTGCTTTTGTGAGATCTCAATAAGATCCTTGAGGCCCAGGGTAATGAAGACATTTTTAAAAATATCATACTGACAAAACACGTTTACTGCTGGAACTACTATTCTTTTACAGTCTAAAGAGCCGTCCTTAAATATCCTAAAGAGTTCTTCTGCCGCATGATGTTTTCTCAGCTCACCGAGAAGCTGATTTCCATTCCGAATCAAGTTGCAAAGGACCCCAGCTGCGTTCTGTCTTGTTTTTCTGTCTGAGCATGACAGAAGTTTAATTAAGTTTGGAATAGTGGGTTTAAGTTGCTCATACAAATAATCACTATGAAACGCAGCATTCCCAACAGCAAACAGAGCAAATTTATTTGATGAGAAATTGCTGCTACAGCAGCATTTTACCAGTGGTTCAATCAGATGGTTCTGGATCAAGTGTTCATAAAAGAAATCTGAATGCTTGAACAGGTTTCCAATTAAAATGTACATATTGCGGCGAATTTCGCGTTTATGATGATGCACAAGGACAGAAAAGTTGCTGTATAGGTTTGCCGAATGAATGGAAAGATAATATTTTTCAGATAACTGGGCAAGCTGCGACAAAATACGCAGTGCGTCTAAAATAAGCGTGGTATTTGCCTTCTCGCTGTCAAGAGCTTGCTTGATGAGTTTGGAATTCAGGCCCCCAGTGTCGACAAAGGCTTCAGCAAAACGATCAGAAAACACCATAAGCCTGGCAATCAGAGTAAAGGAGGGTCCCCAAAAGGCGAGCTCACCATACTCAAACGACATCACTAGCATTTCTATCAGCCCCTCTTTACATGCTACCCTTTGAATAGTAGATGCTATTTTTGAACTGATTTGGGTATCTGATCCTACAGATTGGAGAATGTAATTCAAGATGTTTGCAACTACAGTAATATGCAAACCTACGCCAAGTGAGCCTCCTCCATGGCTCTCCGGCCAGAAGTAAATCTGTTGAAGGTAATCTGTATGGAGTTGCCTGCAAATAACAGATATGGGCAGAGTGGGACTACCCTGATCGGTGGAATGTAATGACAGTGCATTTAAGAAAAGATTCAGGCTTTTTTCAGGTTCAGATAATAGTATTTGTTGCAACGCCCTCAAGGCTGCCTGAACCCCACTTATTGACAATTCAGTATGGGAGTCACTATTCCCTAAAAAACTAAAGATAAGATTCACAAAATCCCATCGGTACGTGTCTAGGAATAACTGCATCTTGTTCTCAGGGGCTTTTCCACATAAAAGTGATTTTGAAACCGAAATAATAAGGGAAAGCATGTGGACGACTCCGTCTAACATACCATGCTCCGGATACCCGTAATCACTGCCTAAAATTCGAGAACAGTTATGTTCAAAATTTAAGTGGTTTACTTCATTTACAATAGCATGAAATCCACTAACAAGACCATCGCCTGTTGTAAGCACTGGAAAATAGTTGAGATCACGATAGACAAACGCGACAAATAGCACAGCAGCTGTATAGTAGTTCAGTTGCGCCACGCTAGATTCCTCTCCGGTAAGATCTGTAGACCTATAGTTGCAAATAGCATAAAACTCTCGATTTGCTAATGAGATAACCTCCAAGTGGTTCATGTGGTGAGATGCCACAAGTTTTATATGTGGTATTGCGATTCTAACAAAGTGAAGCACCAAAGCAGCATGCTCATAGTAATTATTAAAAGATAGCTCATTGGTATCTGAGAGCCAAGTAAAGATAAAATCCCAAAATCTCGGAAATTCTTTCATCTGTACAAATGACCCAAAGTTGTTTCCCCATCTTGTACATTGAAACAGTATTTTAATGCATTGAAAGCGAGAATCATAAGCATTAGTTATGACTTCATTCATAACAAAAGCCAATGAATTTGGGTTCTCTATTAGCTCCATAGCCACGCTTTCTCGAAGAAGTATGCCGATACATGGCTGCTCATGGCGTTGCTTCAGAAGATCCGTGACTTTGTGAAGCGCAGAAACAGATGGAAAAAGAAGCACATCACCATCCTCAGGGAAGACAAGAGACGAAATAAATTGTATAGTAAGTTCTAAAACACTTTTGTCCTGAACTGAAGAAAGCAACTTTATTGTCCAAGTTATGATGGCTGTCAGGGTTATCTTATCCTCTTTTTGATTTACAAGGGCATTTTCAATGTTTTCTAATGCCGATATCATTTTTGTAAGCAATACTTTTATTACAGTTCCATCCCCTGAGTGTAATTGAATCAAAGCTGAAGAATTGAATACGCTATTCTGTTTGTCCGAGAGAAAAGCTCGTCGATTGATGAAAAGTTCATTTGTGTTTCCACAAATTGTATCGGTCACATGGTAAAGTTTGATACAACCAAGTTGCTTCATTCTATCTTTCATTTTAATATCAGATTTGTTTGTAATGCTTAGCCACACATGATCCGCATCCGTTAGTGAAACAAAAGGATGAGTTAGCAAACAAGGCCAATTTAATCGGGCAGAAGGTTGCTTAATCAAAAGTCCTTCCAATAAACTTTTGAAATTCGGCGAGATGGGCTCGTTGAAATCTACAGGACTCTTGGTTATTTTACTAATAAGGGTGCAAAGACTATTTGTACTAAATGGAGGTTTACCGTAGTATAGCTCATATAGAATACATCCTAATGACCACAAATCAGCTCTGTGATCATATGGTTGTTCCTGAATAAGCTCCGGAGCCATATAAAGGGGAGTTCCTTTCACACTTGTCAGGACGATGGTATTAAAACTCATCGATCTCGCAAACCCAAAATCTGCAAGTTTCACAGTTCCATTGTTACACAAAAGGATATTTTGAGGTTTAATATCACGGTGAATGATACGATTGTTATGAATATATTGCAAAGCCTGAACTAACTGTTTTGCAATTCGTTGGACCAGATCTTCGGAAAGTCCCTTATCCGCCTCAAGAACACCAAATAACTCACCTACAGCATACTCCATTATCACAACAAGGTTGTCCTTTGTTTCGAATGCGTCATATAGAGTGATGATGTGATCATGCTTTAGTTTGGTTAGTATTTCAATTTCACATTTTAAATTTCGAAGTTCTTTTTCGTTCTTACCTTTCTTTCTGATAAGTTTCATTGCAACAATTTGGCCACTACCTTTTATTCGAGCTTTGTATACTCTGCCAAATGAACCTTCACCAATCAACCCAAGATTTAAATATTCATCCATTTTCTGAGGTGAAAGGATTAAAGTTCGTTTTTTGTGTATGTATGCAAAGAAAGTTAAGTGAAGATTTGAATTTTAAAAATAGTGAAATAAAAAAATGCTTTTCGGTGAAATAGAAGTTTCAAGAAAATATGTGTTACAGAATCCTTAGTTCCTAATCCTTCACTAATGAAATACACCACTACCTTGTAAAAAAAAAAAAATGTATAAATGAGAAAAAAACTGGAGAATGTCATGTTAAAAAAACTGTGATTTTGATTATTATTTGGTAGTATAGAAGGAAAAAATATCCGTCGTTTTTTATGAAATTTTTTGTGTTTGATGTAAAATATTTCCTTCATAAATCTCTAAGAATTTTTTATATACATGAAGGTCATGATATTGACTATATGAGTTATTTTACAAATATATAAGATATTTGTTCAGGGAATATGTCTGATTTATTTACCGATATTTTCGATTCTTCAAAGCCGAAGGCAAAGCCAGACATTCTTGAGCGGATGCGTAAAACATGAATGTGATTTTTTTTGCCTAATACATATTATATAAATACCTACAACGCTAAGTATAAATCTGATGAAACTTTACTAACGCTAAGATATATTTATCCAGACTATAAAAAAAGTAAAAATCAGAAGTATATAAGATAGGAGAATCCTAATACCATAAACATGAATTAGTATTAACATGAAATGTAGAGAATCACCAATTAATATCATATTTACACACACACACAGAGAGGCTGTTACATAGATGTTACTAACAATAATTTATTTATTTTTCGAACAAATGCTACTATATAAA